CAGAAATATCCTGCGAAAGAAATTGAGTATACTAGCTCTCTGAATTGACCGATTGGTTTGCAATTTAAAGGCACAAGGTCAACTAGACCTTTTGGTAGTTTGTCTATATTTCCTCTGACTACTTTGTTCTTTTGTTGAGTCAAGCAATTAAATTATTAGCCTATATTCACAAAAGCAGCGATCACTTATGGTAATTCTTTTTTAGCCTTGCGGGCAACAAGAAGAAAGGATAAAACGTTTCTATATAAATTATATAACCAAGTACTGCTGTTTGTTTTCAGTAAACTTCTCTTCTAAAACCACGATGAACAACGACATTAAAATGGAGGAAACACGCAAGTGATTGAAACGAAGAATTTAAACAAAAAGGTTAAAAGCTGCTTAAAAACATTGAGACTTTTAATCAAGCGAATTATTACTTACAGATCCTAGAAAGCTGCGGGGTGCAGAAACGAAATTTAAAAACAAGACTGTTAGACTTCAATGAATGCTCATTATAAAACAGGAAAAACACACAATATAGTGTTGACTACAATTTATATAACATCTTTAAAGCAAGGACTAAAATTAGACAAAAAAAATTAGACCGAGCATTAAAAATCGACGATCAGAGACACAATTTATAGAAATTCTAAAGTGAAGCTGTTTTAATTCAAAACTGAACTCACTGAATCTGTAAATTGGTACAAGGTATTGGCGGAGATAAATCTACAACAAGCAAATCTAAAACATTATAAATACTGAGACGTAATTGGTACCAGTACACCAACAAAACAATGCCAAATGCAATCGACAAGTCGTCTCAACTAGTAACAGATTTTGCTGGCTATTCGACTCTCCATGGATTTCATTTTGTACTTGGTCTTCACGCTCCAATTCGACGGTTGCTTTGGCTGTGCTTGATCCTGTCCTGCGTCAGCTTTCTTGTAGTGCAGTTGGTCTTAAGTTATCAGAAGTTAAGTGCGCATAGACATGTCCTAGACAGAGATGTCGTTCCTTCTAAGAGCTTGACGTTTCCAGCGTTTACACTATGTAATATTAACATGATGAAAAGGTATGGCATCCTCTCAATTATAGTTAATGTTAGTTTTTGGTTTAATTTAGTCCACTTAAGCCGCCTTACGACGTTTCCCAATTTCACCCAAAAAAATCTTAAGCTGCCTTAAGCTGCTCTTAGCCACGGCGCTTGAGGAGGCTTTTGACCTGGAGTCTTTATTAGTGCTTTTCGTTTTTGTAGTATTTCTCTTCATTGTCAATAATCATCATAGTACGTTCTCCTTTCTCTTGCCTCTCCTCTGTTCTAGCTCTGGTTTTTCCTTCTCCATCAAGTTTGCAACGTGTTTTTGTCTTTCTTTGTTTTACCAGTCTTTTTCTATGTTCATTCTCTTTAAGAATGTATGCAAATTTAAGGCTTCTTCCTTTGCCCTTCTTCTTTTTGTGTCTTTTCTACTTCTTCCTCTCAAGTATCTTATTAAATGTCTGAGTGTGTATTTCTTTTTCTGATCCTTCTCTTTTCTATCTAATATACCTCGATCACCATCTAGTTATTTTCCATGTCCATTCCATCCTTTTGATCCGTCCCTGTCTCCTTTCTTTTTCTTCGCTCATGTTCGTTTTATTTAGTCTTAGAAGCTCATTATTTATTATTTTTTTTTTGCTTGTGTGTGCATATTGTTGATTTGCTTGTGTGTGCATATTGTTGATATTTCTAGTAAATATAAACAGGTTATTTGGGATCCAAAATTTCAAACAGTGGTCTGGCACCAATGCGACCAATTGAAAGTTTTAAAATGATACTTTGGCATTCCTGTTCTTATTAAATTTTTGATAACTTGCTCAKTTGACTACAACAGGTTGTAGCCTTTGTGCTTCCCTTCTATGCGAAAAGTTTTGTATTTGATTATAAATGGTAAAATTCCTGTAAAAGGGCATGAAATTATCTGATTATATGAACTCTATGCAGGGGTTTAACGTTATTTAGATTGTGTTGAATTATCAATAATAACTAGTGTTTTAAGCGATATTGTGCATGCTCCATGCCGTGGAAAACCTATCTTCAGTATAGTTTCATATAAGTAGGTTGTCGCTTGAAAGCATGCATGAACCTTCGGATCAAAAATATCACGGTTTGCAAATGTTATATCATTTTTATACATTGTATTGTTGGCAAAAAGTCAAACAAGACCTAAACAATGGCTGACCATATTAGGATAAAAGGACAACAAACCATTTCATAGTAAGGCAAATATAATATGAAAATGTCCAGGATAGCCTGGACAAGGCCCAGGGGCGGATCCAGGATTTCCCTGAGAGAGGGGTGCGTGCTTCTCAGGAGGGGGTGCAGCCCACAAAAATCATTACCATGAAGATACAAATCAAGGAAAGTATTGAAAGAAATATATCCCAGGAGTCGGTGCGCACCCCCTGCACTCATCAGCCGGATCCGCCTCTGAGGTCTTATGCATCCTTACAGGCAAGGCAAATTGAATAATCTTTTATTTTGTCATCTAAAAGCTTATTTGGTTGACATTGAATGAAATATCGTCATCAGATCCATGATCGATGGGACGGATGCACAGTTGTACTTGGATAAGCTAGATCCTGTTAAGGCGAGCCAAGTTGTAAATAAAACTTTATCCAGCTCCTTCGATCTGAAAAAGGCAGTTCTCGAGTATGGACACACAGCAAGCGAAATGATAAAATTGTGTACTTGGAATGGGAAAATTTGCAGTTATAAGAATTTTACGACATCCTTCTCATACACTGTAAGTACCAATATTGTTTTTGTAAATGTTATTTGTAGGTAAATATGAAGAGGACCTGCCCGGTTGACTTTGATAATTGAATTGTTTTGTTTTGATTCACCCAGGGTAAAGAAATTAAAACCGAAAGAAACTAGGTCCGAAACCGGTGAAGGACGCTTCATATGACCAAGCTCTCAGTCTTATTATCAATGTTTCTTAATCACCTATGATGACGACTGACACAGTAATAATTKCTGATTCTCATTGAACTGATTCTATATAAAATAAATAATTGAATGGTAAAATATTCCAGTGTGATCCTTCATAACTCAGAGACGCAACACTGAAATGCAAAAATCTTTCAACCTTCAATTATTTACTTTATATAGAATCAGCTCACAGAGAATCAGAAATTATTGTGTCAGGTGTCATAGGCACTTTAATTGACTGAAAAGTATCTGCATATTTCCTGTCACAGTWTGGCTTGTGTCATACCTTCAACTTAGGAGACAACGAAGAAGAACTATTAAATTCAACTTCAAACCAAAGAGATCTTGGTCTTATTCTAATGATCGATATCAATGACGATGAATATTACGGACCTATTAGCTACCTGTCAACTGGGATTAAAGTCGTCGTGCACGATCAAAAAGAACATCCCATGGTGGACGAATTTGGGGATGATGTCATGCCAGGTTTCACTACTTCAATCAAAATCAAGCGTGAAAAGGTAAGCCTTAAAAAGCCGTGAAAAGGTAATGTTTGTAATCCGACAATGAGGACATATTTCAAGTCCGTGCAATGCGTTCCAATGCAAGACCATAAGGATGCATGGAGATATGTAAGATTCGACGGATAGAAGCAGATTTACGAATGCATGTTTGAATTCACCTCATTTTCCATACATGAAAAATTCAAAACACGATCGCCTGAATATTCTGGTCGACCATATAGGCATCGACACTACTCATGGATTCGTTGCTTCTCATCTTCTGTAATCATTCTTTCCAATTAAAAAACTTGTTTTTGGAGACCGTTGTTAACTGTTGATGTTTAACCGCTCTCCTGTTCACTTTCTTCTTCTTCTTTTAAGTGATTGCAGTAATGCAGATGTAGTGCGTCAAATAAATCAACTTTGCTCTAACTCATTATTTAAAATAGTTGTCAAGAACAACTTGTGCGTGTTTACTTGATGAAGGCATTGTTAGCTTTTCTTCTTCTACATTATCATTGTCAATGTAAATGCAGTACATAAAATTATAATAAGACTAATGCCTTTTCTATATATATTCTTAGTTTCATCGTCTAAAGCATCCGTACAGCTCTGCCTGTGGCAGTAAAAAACTCGTCACTTCGAATGAGTACGTTCGAAGTATATGTATATTGGAATGCAATACTCGTGAGATGATCAAGAAACGGGGATGCAGGCTCCTTGGCATGCCCAATTTACCGGGTAATAATGCTTGCATAGTCCAAGAGAGGATCAAGGAAGATACTTATTCTTGCACTATAGCCATTGGATAATTATACAATATCAAAGGTTCTATAGGGTTCAATCCGCGGTATTAGGAGGTATCACTTATCCGCACCTGATATTACAAAAATAACTCATTTTCTCTGACTATTTATCAAATGTTTTTTTATAGTTTTTCAATATTGCCTTTAGCAACTAATTACAAAGACCTTTTTCTGAGATTCTTTGGGGCAGCAAGCAATCAGTGAAATTAATTGCTTTTTTTACCAAAAAATGTACTTTATTCGTTTTATTCGCCAGTCTCTGAGAGGCGTATAGGAATTCTAGAAAAAAAACACTAATGACTACATTTACTAGATTTATATAACAATACATTTTTGTTAGAACAAAATTTATTGCAAATATCCATGTACGTTTAAATTAAGTCTAAAGAGAATGCTGAAAGATCTCCTATTTATCTAGAAAAAAGGATACATATAAGGCAGCGATAAAGCATAAAAAACCTAATCGTCCCACTTCTTTTGTTACTTCTTTTGTTAATTTGTTTCAGAATTTAACACTACAGGATATTGTAATCCGAGTGAGATTATATCAGGTACCATTGATTGGTTACGTTTTACTGAGAAATATATCTGTATATATTTATCGATTTTTTTTAAATAGAAGATGTGGTTACACCGAGAGCAAGCAATTGTGATTGCCCATTGCCATGTGAAGAAATAAGATACAGCACCGTCAACAGCTTGGGGTACTTTCCATCAAAAACCTTTACTGAAGTTACAAAGTTGTCGTTGGTGAGGTAGGCCATCTTATGTATACTATTAAAAAACTCATACATAATTGATGAGTTATTATTCCAATACAACGAGCCTATTTGATCACATGCATGGACCTTTATATCTGATAAAACACTCCTTATTAGTATTAATCTTTATATAAAGAATACTAATTATAAGGGTTAATAAAGGGTTAATACATGAAGGTTTATTAAAAGTTAATAAACTATGAACTCCATGTTCAGAGTGTTTTTAAAATTAGGATGAAAAAAAAAATAAAAAAGTGAAAGTGATATAGGAAGCTCAAAGCTCCCCACTCGACGGTTGTTGGTGGGATTTTTGAAAAGGAGTTCGCGGTAAAGTTTGGCGGAATATCATTGACAGGAGCAAGGTCTGCATTCACATATACGTTGCAGAGTTCATACCATCTCGTAATTAATGGAAAGAGAGATCCATAAAATCCATAAACATAATTAACCAATCAACTAAAAATAAAACACAAACAAAAACGACAACAACAAAAACAAAAAACAATAACAACAGAAAAAAAAGAACAAAAAAATCGAATTCATGCGCGGACACCTGTCCTGTTTATGAAAACCGATCATAAATACAAGTCCAGTTTATTTGACATCTGGGAAATTTTCATCATATAATGAGCTTTTCTCATAAAAGGATCAAAAATTATAATTATTAATTAACCAAATGGTTTGGATGAGTATTTTGGGTCTCCTGGATCGACAGTATTGAACAACTGATAAGTATTGTCCTTTATTTGTACTGTTAGATTGATTTTTGGACAACTTAAGCTAATCTCGCTGACTCGCTTTGAGGTTGAGGGACAATCGACAGCGCATTCAATTATTTTCATCTGTTCATTGTTAAATTAATTTAAAGTATTGGTAAACCTAGCAACTAAAGAGAAATGTTCTTTTTATACAGAATAAAACCCCACTCATTTCATTGACGCATATTTTAATTGCTTTTTCCCAAACGAAACTCCAGATGAAACTGATACGCACTTTTCAGAATTAAAATTTGCCAAGGCAAACAAGTTGAAAGGCAATTCAATGGCGTTAGCGTCATTGGTTTACACATTCTGTTTTTCAACCTCCTCGCCAGTTTAGTTGTGTTTCTTAACTCATGTTGTTTTATGTTAGCTCCCGTTGATTAGCGATATACACTTCTTTGCTTGAGCTAAACAGGTTGACCTTATTAAACAAAACTTCATTTATGATTCATATTAAGCAGCCCGCTTATGTCAAATAATTTGAAAATCGATAACTGACACAAAATTACGAAGAGAGCCAATTATTTTATGCTTCCTAAAGAGTTAAAATTTTACTTTTTTATGAGTTGATCTTTTCTTGGAAGCTCTTTCTCATTCCAAGAAGCCATATTTTACTTATTTCACTTCTTTGTCTAGCTATTTGTTGCAAATAGGTTTTAGGTATACTTTCGAACATCAATATTTAATAATCACTTTTCGATTGTTGAATCTAAATAAATTTGCATCTTATAGCAAACTTTGTCAACAACGTGTGCTTTGTGCATACTTTGTACGAATGTGAAATGTAAATAGCTCCATCGTACAGCGTTTAGTTTTATAGTTTTATAATATGGAGGGAAAACATTCTCATTTGATTAATGACACATTCATGGCGAATGCATCTAACTCCAGTCATTATGAACTATATTCTGAAAATGTTTTCCACGATTTGTTTCCTGTGAAAACTGCTGCCTACTGCCTTCTCCTGTTGGTCTCTGCTCTTGGAAACATCTTCATTATAACAACAGTTTACAAAGATGAGCGATTAAAGACAACAACTAACTTTTTGGTGGCAAACATGGC